AAAGGCTGAATATTTAGGTTAATGTTATTTTGGCAGCCAGAAGAGTTAGGGGGTGGGGGTGGGGGGAGAGGTAGAGATTTCAGGAAAATATTTCCTACTTAAACAGAGGTTTAACAAATTTGAATTCAGTTCCTAAGTATGCCGAGGTCTCAAATACGATCATCTGAAAGTTTTGTCTCAAAGATCATTCGAGAGTCAGAAAACTAGGGGATTTGAAATTCTGGAAGGATGTTCACCCCCCGAGGTTTAAAATTTCTCTTTCACGCGCCGATGCGTGAAATTTTTGACTATTTTTCAACATTTCAACTATTTTTACACAAACCAAAGTGCAAAGCAGTGAAAATCATTAACAGTCAATCGTTCGGTGGACGGAATTACACAAGACGCATGATCGCACCGGCTATTCTGGTGCGCGCTGCTATTTATTTTTTTCCCCATCGGAAAGAGCTGCTTCACGTTCCACGCGCTTCGACGCTAACCCCACGAAAGGCAAACCTCACTGTGCCTAGTCTGGAACCGTCCTCTCCTCAGGAGTAGTGCACCTCTCGGGTTCCAGTGGAACATTTCCTGTAGTCACGCTTATGCCTACGCCATACAGACCCCAGCTCGTGCTGCAGCCGATAGATACTTGAAAATTCTTCATCCTCTTCCCCAAACTAGCACCGACACAAGGCAATCCCCCTAAGACTCGGCTTGGCTAGGCCGAATTGGGAGGATGAGTTGCAATGATTGAGGCTGGGAGTAGAATGATACGGAAGAGAGGACGGGGGATAGAGCTCGTGGTGGTGGTTTAGGTATCGAGGGTCGTAAAGGAGGGAAGAGGACACAGTTATTGACTGCAAGAGCTTACCTGGAGCTAAGAATTGGAAATACGGACGGACTTTACGGTGGGGAGGCCCTCTATACGAGTTTTTAATGCTCGTCTCGGAACATGACGATGAGCGACAAGTAGCAATCCTGGAAGCGACGCCCAGAAGTGCCCCCAAACGAAAAGACCCGGCATTAGAACTTTCGCATCTCGAACCCGAACCCGAAATCGCACAAAAAAACAACTGCCTATTCCCCGGTTGAGCCAAACCCCGAGTTCAGTAAGACCCGCCGACGACCGACCACTCGTCAAAAATCGCAACTATTAAAACTAAGATCGGCCCAACCCTGCAATGTGGGCCCGAATCAGCGAGCAGCTGTTCATGCAGTCACGCCATCCTGTCGCAACCTCCCCCTTCGCCGAGCTATTTCTGCAGGCTGTCAAAGGCGCTCCTGCCTGCCCTCTGTTCATTGATCAACAGCTTCCTTCTTCCAGGCAGGATTTCTGGAATGCAGCCCAGAAGCACCGTGATTGAGAGGTGAATCTGGGGATTTAAGGTGACATTTAATCAATCAGAGGACCAGTGCGGGCTGGAAGAGACGGCGTCCTTTCGTATTTTGACCTGTTGAGAGTTCCAAGTGAACAGTGGCGAAAACGAGCCAAAAAACGCTAAAGTGAGCTAGAAAGCGCAAAATTAGGCTGCAGATATTGGCCGAAAAAGGTGCAGATTTGGTAAGAGGATACAAAACTTTCTTTTTTAAACAACAAAGCAAAATCTATCCAGAAGTGTCATGGGATATTAGTAACGGGAAAAAGCGAGCGGGGAAGGTGCAACAGTGAATATTACTATGAAACAACCGCAATCACGTCCCGTTATTTGAACAGTCATGGATTCGTCCGTTAGTCCAGGGGCCATAGAACTTATCGTTTGAAGTGAGCGAAAGCTAACATTTATTTTAATGGGTGCACCTGCATCCAACCTTCCTCATATAATGGAAGCCACTTGTTCGCCAAACGATATTGTTCGGCCGTGGCCAACAAAGCACCATTCCTGCTTGAACTGAATATGGTTCCTCTAAACACTGTGTGCGTTCCGTTTTACTAACAGCTCTGCGAATAGCTTGGATGAAACTTCAGGAGCTGCTGCTGCTTCGTATTTCCCACACTAGTATTCGGGAAAATTTGAAGAGCAGCCCTCACATGAAGATTTCATGATTGGCAGCCAGCTAAAGCGAATCTGTCGCATGTCAAGATAAAATTTTAATACAATGTTTTTGAGGAGGCGCTTATCGATCCTGATCCAATAACTGGTGATAATCCTTAGGCCTATTTATCAGCTGGAAATCGACAAGTGATCTTTGGCATCCGAACCCTTTGCAAAGTATACAGTACTTTGTCACCTCCTAGCTGGTCACTGTAGTAGAAGCACCACTTGGTCATAGCTGCTGTAAAGATCTTAGTTTTTTTCTTTTAAAATAAAACGATTGTCGAAAATTTCAAGAGCAGCCCTCACATGAAGATTTCACGTTTGCCTAAATCTGCCAAGATCTGTCGACTAGTCAAAATCGCCCAGTGCGAAGTGCTTCCGTCTTAATGCGCTTTTTTCGCCGTACGGGTAGTGTAAAAATGTGTAATTAAAGTGCATCATATATTTGGTGATTTTTGTCCAAATGTTGCTTTCCGTTAATTCTGCCTCATTTTTGGGTCACTTACGTTGATAAGCAAATTTAACATTCCTGGTTCAAATTCCAGATTTCCAGTGCAAATCCCAGACTTTTAGTGCAGATTCGAGATTTCCTTTTTGAATTCAGTATGTTGCATCTTTCATACCATTCCAACGATTTTGATGCTAATTGAATGCAAAAGGAGGTGGCTACCTCTGCCGCACTAACACTCGCATGCAGCTTTCAATATCTGAAGTGATGTTCAGTTATTCACCCTGTTCAGTGAACATGCAATGTAAAACTGCACATTGTCAAAACTGTGTATGTAGGGGTGTATGTGTGTGTGTGTGTGTGTGTGTGTGTGTGTGTATGGGCTTGTGTGTATGTATATGTTCGGTTACCTGTCCGGCTTTTCCAGTACTGAGCAGTCAGAGAAACTAGGAAGTTGAACGAG